TTAATTCAATTTAGTACCCATAGTTAAAAACTTTACATTTTGTTTTATTTTAGTACCCGTTAAAAATTTAATGTTAAGTTTTGAAAAAATTGAAAGTCTAGGTACTAAAATGGACCAAAACTAATAGTTTGGATACTAAAAGCATCAAGTTTTTAATATCAGGGTACTAAAATGAAATGAAAATTAAACTTTAGGTGTGGTTTTGAAAAATTGAAAGTTTAGATAGTAAAATGGGCTAAAATTGATAGTTTAGATACTAAATGTGTAGTTTATCCTAAAATAAACATCAAGATTTTAAATAGAAAACCATTTGGGGAAAAATTATCAACAAAATAGAGAATTTTCACTAATGTCAAAAATAGAAAAATACAAGAAAAATCCACATGTGAACAATTTAACTTCAAACTCTCATCTTTATTGTCTAATTATATGGATAGTTATTTGATTTAAAAAAACGTTTATTATAAATCTATATGAATTAATGCACAACAAGTTTCCAATCATTAATGTCAAACTCTAAAAATCTTCACATTTACATGAAATTTGAAAGTACAAGTGATTTGAAACAATCTCAAATTCATGCATAATAGGTTCGGATCACTAATGAAAACTCGTATACAAAATCATCATTTGTTTGATTTAATCATGTCGTATTTATGATTAATGTCATCTTTTGACAAGAAAAATAAAATAACTTCATCTATGAAAATTGTTGAAATTTTCCTAAATAAGACATGGTAGTTTTTCTTTGCTCTTACATCACAATGAGTGTGTCTCGTAAATTTTCATAGCCCTACTATCACTAAAGCATTTATACCCTTTTAAATTCAGGGTACCTAACAAAATTAGACTTGTTATCAAACTGTCCCAACTGAAAACTGGAGTTGCGATCAAAAAGAGAAATTTCATATTTTAAGGATGTCATTAGCGTGATCGAGACAAACAACCTGGACATTCATATATAAATTTGTTAAAATATAATGATGTGTATAATGATCACATAAAAAAAATAAACACCAAGATTTTAAGAGGAGAACCCTTTCAGAAAAATCATGTGTAAAAAAAAAAGAATTTTCAGTGATATAAAAAATAAAGGAATCTCACTAACAACTTAACTTCTAAGCTCAATCTCTAGTATCTATATATAAGGATGATTATTTGATTACAAACAAAAAATTTATTTAGTAGAAATCTACTCAGAGTAGGTTTTTTCTATTAATCAATATAAAAATAATAGGCTTCCTACATCAAATTAGGTTTCTTATTTTCTCTCAATTATCTATTAATTTTGTATGTTCATTAATCTAAATCAAATCAAATTCGGATTAAACTCTAACATATCATAAAACTGGCGACGAAGAAGTGCGAGCCAAGTTGTCAACGGCCTAGACTTGCTTGATTTCAGAACTGAAACAAGCTGGATCCTCAACTATTGATCCACGTCTATGTTAAAGCTGTTTACTATGCATGGTCAAGTTCATCGAATTTCAGATCTTAATCAAGAAAAGAGAACTAAATAGGGGTGCTTATCGAGCGAGTCAATAGCGGGTTGGGTAGTGCTCGACTCGTGTTCATTTAAAAATTTTGTACTCGACTCAATTCAACTCTTTGCTCGTTAAGCTCGTTAAAATTGTGTTCGACTCGTGCTCATTAAAAAAATTTGTTGTTCAATTAGACTCGTTGCTCGATAAGCTCACTAAAAACATTACCTTATTTTTAACTAAAAAAAATTTTAATACTATATGAGGATATTAGGGTTGGGTTTTTTTGTAATAAAATGATATTATTAATTAATAATATTTTATTATTTATTAAAATAATAGATTAGTTAATTTATTATTTTTATTTATTAATTAATAAATTAATAATTATTATTTAGATTTATTTTTTGAATAAAATAATTTTGAAGTAATTACTAAAAATATATTTTAAAAATTAATGAGATGCTCGCGAACTTATTGAGTCGAGTTAGACTTTGCTCGGCTCAGCTCGTTAAGGTCTGAGTCGAGTTCGAGTCAAGCCAACTCGAGTTGAGAATTTACCGAGTCGAGTTCGAGCTGCTCACGAGCTACTCAACTCGTTAAGCACCCCAGAACTAAATCTGATTGGGTCACTCTCTAGGATGAATCGAGGAGGCGAGTTAGACTTTGCTCGGCTCAGCTCGTTAAGGTCTGAGTCGATTTCGAGTTCGAGTCAAGCCAACTCGAGTTAAGCGTTTACCGAGTCGAGTTCGAGCTACTCACGAGCTACTCAACTCGTTAAGTCTGATTAGGTTACGCTCTAGGATGAATCGAGGAGGCAAGTGGGGGCAGTCACCCCCGAAAATTTAAAATTACCTTATATTTTACATTTTTTTATATAGTTTTTATTGAAAATATGTTTTCGTCCCTGCAATTTTATTAGTTCAAGTTGTCTTCCCTAAAATTTTAAATATTCAAGTTGGTTTTCTTAATACAAAATCATGTGTCTATCCCTAATCATGTCTAAATCAACTTGGTTGATAATGATTCATTTCCTGGATTTTACATTGTGGCAACATTAATGGTCCTTGCTATCTTATTTGTTGGGAAAAAGAAGCAAAACAAAAACAAAACCTCGTATGGAATGGCAACTAGTTTGTCATTAACCATTTAATATATCAAATTATACAGAAAGCAATACCGGAGATGGATGTTCTGTTCGAGAACCAACCCTTTAAGCTTTCAAGTTGAAAATAATTAAAGCATTAAGCAAATCTTTATTGGCATCAAATCTTCTTTCGGGAAAAGAATAATGCCTTTTCCTTCCTAGTTATTTCATTAATTAGATATCAATATTAGATAGTGCTTTCTTTGCTATGTTCATATTCCATCAGTTTATCTAAACTCGGCCATAATTGAAATGGATAGTGGGTAGTGGCAGATCCAGAAATATCTTTAAAGGTGAACGCAAATATATTAATAACATAAAATTTTCTTATGGAATGAAAATAAATAAAATTTCAGGATAGACATCATCGGTAAAATGAACAACTAATATAAAAGAATTTAAATTTTTGGATGGACACCTTTGCATCCGCCACTGATGTTGTGCACAATTCGTAACTCATTAATGGTCAAACGAATAATGAAGAATGCTGTTGTTGCATAATCAATTTGAGCAAGTGGGAAGAGATATTAGGGCATCTTAAAGACTAATTTACAGAACATTGACTATGTCTAATTATAACAGGTAATTGGTGATAAAGATGGCCTTAATCAATTCCTAAGGACTATGATCCTTACCTGATAACCCTAGCTCTTTTGGCATCAACATCTTTATTTTTGAAGGAATATAATGTGAAACTGCAAAAGCAATGTTTTTTTTATGGCGAACCAACTAGGCAACAATCCGAGCATATTGATCGATGCCTTAAATGTCAAGAAACATTTAGCAATGTTATATATATTGATTCTCTTTTGTCACTCCCATAATATATATATTTTATAAAATGAAAAAAAAGATACTTTATGGCTATTGATAAAGAAGATTTGCTTTTAAGATTTGTTCATGGAAAAATTGTGGTTGTGACGGTTTTTGGTGATTCACTCTTTTGATTTGGGAGGAGAATCGCAATTAGTAATTTTGTAAGATTGTGAAATTGATAGTCTAAAAAAGATGCATGATTAACATTAGAGAGGTTTATATCATTCGAGAAAAAGGAAAAAGAGAATTCTTTTCTATTTTGTATGATGGCTTATATGTAGGTTGACATGATGAGTAATCTTAATTGTCATATAATAGATATAGTCGGTAATGAAATTGACAACAATCATATCAAAGGACCATATCATTTCAGAAGGTTCAGATGGAAGTATTATAGCATTCCGAAAGATATGAAACTCCTGAGATTTTTTAAAATTTTCTCTATAGACAAAAAAAAAAACAAAAGATTAATAGTGGGAATAAAATTTATAGAAGAAATCCAAAAAAAAAATTACAAGATTCACTATTGCACCCTAGTATTCAATAATGACAATCATGTTAAGAATTGAGGTTACATATTTGATTATGCCGGAATCTGCTGTTGATGATTCTTTGGAATTAAGCACTTAATCTTAATTCAATTATGCTGCATACATCACCAAAGATTTGGACTTTATGTCGCTTTCATTTCTTCCCTTTTAATTTGTCCCTTGTTTTCTATAATATATTTATAATGTGATTATAAGTGGAGTGCATAGGTTAGCTATAAATTACCTCGGAACCTTTCCCCTTTAGGAAATATATTGGTGCTGCCACGCATATCAAGTGCTGCCACTTCGAAGGCCAGGATTAAATGTGCGTTCTGATTGATTCAAAGAGGAAATAAGAACATAATATTATTATAAAGCGTAGAGAGGGCGTGATGTCGGCGCACTACACACTTTGATATCATCTGCTTAAGTGCAAGACACGTAGATCAGAGCTTGAACAGAACATTATTGCATTATTATATATATTACTAGTTTGCGAACTTTGCATAGCAGTTGGTAAAAGTAAGCGCGTCCTCAAAAAAATTTGATAGAAAACTGAACCAGAAAATGCCTGAATTAAAAAATATAAAATCTTATTGATGAGAATTAGTTGGTTATATGGACTCTTGGTGGTTATCCCTTTAAAGTTTGAGCGGAAAATCGTAGATGATGATCGTGTTAAAGTATCAACATAGCTCAGTAACTAACTCGCACAGAAACTATGAATCACTGCTTTCATTCATTTGTAAAACTATATCTCTACAGCAATAGCACATACAACACATGGTGAAATGTAAAAGGGAGGGAAAGAACGTTATGACGATAGAGGAGAGAGAGAGTTTGTTAAAACAAATCTAATCACCTCACATACATTTCACTTGCATGAAACATGCGTATAACCAACCCATGCATACATCATGTATACTATCATCTTACACTAACATTCCCCTTTCTACTTTACTCTACACCTTTCTAATTCAGCATAGACAATAACATTCTCCTTGCAGCATCAAACTTGTAAACCTCTCAACCTGCACATTTGATTTGCACAATCAGCAACTTTTGTCTATGCTTTACAAACAAGGGTGCAGACAGTGGCTTTGTTAGAATGTCTGCAACTTGTTCATATACAGGAACTTCATGAACTTGTAACTTCCCTGCTACAATCATCTCTCGAACGAAAAAGAGATCAAGTTCCACATGTTTAAATTTAGAGTGCAAAACAGGATTGGCACAAACTGCAACTGCACTTGAATTGTCACACCATAGAGTAGGTTTACCATGAGAGACAATGTGTAGTTCACTCAATAAAGATTCAAGCCATACCATTTCAGCATCTGCACACGCAACACTTCGATATTCTACTTCAACTGTTGATCGAGCCATAATTTGTTGTTTTCGAGAGCTCCATGAAACTAAATTGCCCCCAAAGTAAATGAAAAAACCAAAAGTGGAACGTCTATCATCCACATCTGCTCCCCAACTTGCATCAGCAAATCCTATCAAGGAAAATCTAGAAGACGCTAAGAAACTCATACCAAAGTCAATCGTTCTTTGTAAGTATCTTAAGATACGTTTCACAGCCTGAAAATGAGTGTCAAGAGGAGCTTGCATAAGTTGACACACACGATTGACAGCAAAAGTGATATCTGGACGAGTGATCACAACATACTGTAGGGCCCCAACAATGCTTTGAAATTGAGTAACTTTCTCAACTGGATTTTCATCCTTAGCTGAAAGTTTACAGTTTGTGACCATAGGCGTAGGAAGACCATTTGCACTTTCATTCATTTGTAAAACCATATCTCTATATCAATAGCACAAGGCTCTTTTATACAGCACACAGTGAAATGTAAAAGGGAGGGAAAGAACGTTAGGATGTTAGAGGAGAGAGAGAGTTTGTTAAAACAACTCTAACCACCTCACGTACATTGCACATGCATGAAACATGCGTATAACCAATCCATGCATGCATCATGTATACTGTCATCATACACTAACATTCCCCTTTCTACTTTACTCTACACCTTTCTAATTCAGTATAGACAATAACATTCTCCTTGCAACATCAAACTTGTAAACCCCTCAAACTGCACATTTGATTTGCACAATCAGTAGCTTTTGCATATGCTTTACAAACAAGGGAGTAGACAATGGCTTTGTTAGAATGTCTGCAACTTGTTCATATACAGGAACTTCATGAACTTGTAACTTCCCTGCTACAATCATATCTCGAACGAAAAAGAGATCAAGTTCTACATGTTTAAATTTAGAGTGCAAAACAGGATTGGCACAAACTGCAACTGCACTTGAATTGTCACACCATAGAGTAGGTTTACCATGAGAGACAATGTGTAGTTCACTCAATAAAGATTCAAGCTATACCATTTCAGCATCTGCACACGCAACACTTCGATATTCTACTTCAACTGTTGATCGAGCCACAATTTGTTATTTTCGAGAGCTCCATGAAACTAAATTGCCCCCAAAGTAAATGAAAAAACCAGAAGTGGAACGTCTATCATCCACATCTGCTCCCCAACTTGCATCAGTAAATCCTATCAAGGAAAATCTAGAAGACGCTAAGAAACTCATACCAAAGTCAATCGTTCCTTGTAAGTATATTAATATACATTTCACAACCTGAAAATGAGTGTCAAGAGGAGCTAGCATAAGTTGACACACACGATTGACAGCAAAAGTGATATCTGGACGAGTGATCACAACATACTATAGGGCTCCAACAATGATATGAAATTGAGTAACTTTCTCAACTAGATTTTCATCCTTAGCTGAAAGTTTACAGTTTGTGACCATAGGCGTAGGAAGACCATTTGCACTTTCATTCATTTGTAAAACCATATCTCTATATCAATAGAACAAGGCTCTTTTATACAGCACACAATGAAATGTAAAAGGGAGGGAAAGAACGTTAGGACGTTAGAGGAGAGAGAGAGTTTGTTAAAACAACTCTAACCACCTCACGTATATTTGCACATGCATGAAACATGCGTATAACCAATCCATGCATGCATTATGTATACTATCATCATACACTAACATTCCCCTTTCTACTTTACTCTACACCTTTCTAATTCAGCATAGACAATAACATTCTCCTTGCAACATCAAACTTGTAAACCTCTCAAACTGCACATTTGATTTGCACAATCAGTAGCTTTTGTCTATGCTTTACAAACAAGGGTGCAGACAGTGGCTTTGTTAGAATGTCTGCAACTTGTTCATATACAGGAACTTCATGAACTTGTAACTTCCCTGCTACAATCATCTCTCGGACGAAAAAGAGATCAAGTTCCACATGTTTAAATTTAGAGTGCAAAACAGGATTGGCACAAACTGTAACTGCACTTGAATTGTCACACCATAGAGTAGGTTTACCATGAGAGACAATGTGTTGTTCACTCAATAAAGATTCAAGCTATACCATTTCAGCATCTGCAAACGCAACACTTCGATATTCTACTTCAACTGTTGATCGAGCCACAATTTTTTGTTTTCGAGAGCTCCATGAAACTAAATTACCCCCAAAGTAAATAAAAAAACCAGAAGTGGAACGTCTATCATCCACATCAGCTCCCCAACTTGCATCAGCAAATCCTGTCAAGGAAAATCTAGAAGACGCTAAGAAACTCATACCAAAGTCAATCGTTCCTTGTAAGTATCTTAAGATACGTTTCACAACCTGAAAATGAGTGTCAAGAGGAGCGTGCATAAGTTGACACACACGATTGACAGCAAAAGTGATATCTGGACGAGTGATCACAACATACTGTAGGGCTCCAACAATGCTGTGAAATTGAGTAACTTTCTCAACTGGATTTCCATCCTTAGCTGAAAGTTTACAGTTTGTGACCATAGGCGTAGGAAGACCATTTGCACTTTCATTCATTTGTAAAACCATATCTCTATATTAATAGCACAAGGCTCTTTTATACAACACACAGTGAAATGTAAAAGGGAGGGAAAGAACGTTAGGACGCTAGAGGAGAGAGAGTTTGTTAAAACAACTCTAACCACCTCACGTACATTGCACATGCATGAAACATGCGTATAACCAATCCATGCATGCATCATGTATACTATCATCATACACTAACATTCCCCTTTCTACTTTACTCTACACCTTTCTAATTCAGCATAGACAATAACATTCTCCTTGCAACATCAAACTTGTAAACCTCTCAAACTGCACATTTGATTTGCACAATCAGTAGCTTTTGTCTATGCTTTACAAACAAGGGTGCAGACATTGGCTTTGTTAGAATGTCTGCAACTTGTTCATATACATGAACTTCATGAACTTGTAACTTCCCTGCTACAATCATCTCTCGAACGAAAAAGAGATTAAGTTCCACATGTTTAAATTTAGAGTGCAAAACAGGATTGGCACAAACTGCAACTGCACTTGAATTGTCACACCATAGAGTAAGTTTACCATGAGAGACAATGTGTAGTTCACTCAATAAAGATTCAAGCTATACCATTTCAGCATCTGCACACGCAACACTTCGATATTCTACTTCAACTGTTGATCGAGCCACAATTTGTTGTTTTCGAGAGCTCCATGAAACTAAATTGCCCCCAAAGTAAATGAAAAAACCAGAAGTAGAACGTCTATCATCCACATCTGCTCCCCAACTTGCATCAGCAAATCCTGTCAAGGAAAATCTAGAAGACGCTAAGAAACTCATACCAAAGTCAATCGTTCCTTGTAAGTATATTAAGATATGTTTCACAACCTGAAAATGAGTGTCAATATGAGCTTGCATAAGTTGAAACACACGATTGACAGAAAAAGTGATATCTGGACGAGTGATCACAACATACTGTAGGGCTCCAATAATGCTGTTAAATTGAGTAACATTCTCAACTGGATTTTCATACTTAGCTGAAAGTTTACAGTTTGTGACCATAGGCGTAGGAAGACCATTTGCACTTTCATTCATTTGTAAAACCATATCTCTATATCAATAGCACAAGGCTCTTTTAGACAGCACACAGTGAAATGTAAAAGGGAGGGAAAGAACGTTAGGACGTTAGAGGAGAGAGAGAGTTTGTTAAAACAACTCTAACCACCTCACGTACATTTCACATGCATGAAACATGCGTATAACCAATCCATGCATGCATCATGTATACTATCATCATACACTAACATTCCCCTTTTTACTTTACTCTACACCTTTCTAATTCAGTATAGACAATAACATTCTCCTTGCAACAACAAACTTCTAAACCTCTCAAACTGCATATTTGATTTGCACAATCAGTAGCTTTTGTCTATGCTTTACAAACAAGGGTGCAGACAGTGGCTTTGTTAGAATGTCTGCAACTTGTTCATATACAGGAACTTCATGAACTTGTAACTTCCCTGCTTCAATCATCTCTCGAAGGAAAAAGAGATCAAGTTCCACATGTTTAAATTTAGAGTGAAAAACAGAATTGGCACAAACTTCAACTGCACTTGAATTGTCACACCATAGAGTAGGTTTACCATGAGAGACGATGTGTAGTTCACTCAATAAAGATTCAAGCCATACCATTTCAGCATCTGCACATGCAACACTTCGATATTCTACTTCAACTGTTGATCGAGCCACAATTTGTTGTTTTCGAGAGCTCCATGAAACTAAATTGCCCCGAAAGTAAATAAAAAAACTAGAAGTGGAACGTCTATCATCCACATCAGCTCCCTAACTTGCATCAGCAAATCCTGTCAAGGAAAATCCAGAAGACGCTAAGAAACTCATACCAAAGTCAATCGTTCCTTGTAAGTATCTTAAGATACATTTCACAGCCTGAAAATGAGTGTCAAGAGGACCGTGCATAAGTTGACACACACGATAGACAGCAAAAGTGATATCTGGACGAGTGATCACAACATACTGTAGGGCTCCAATAATGCTGTGAAATTGAGTAACTTTCTTAACTGGATTTCCATCCTTAGCTGAAAGTTTACAGTTTGTGACCATAGGCGTAGGAAGACCATTTGCACTTTCATTCATTTGTAAAACCATATCTCTATATTAATAGCACAAGGCTCTTTTATACAGCACACAGTGAAATGTAAAAGGGAGGGAAAGAACGTTAGGACGTTAGAGGAGAGAGAGAGTTTGTTAAAATAACTCTAACCACCTTACGTACATTGCACATGCATGAAATATACGTATAACCAATCCATGCATGCATCATGTATACTATCATCATACACTAACATTCCCCTTTCTACTTTACTCTACACCTTTCTAATTCAGCATAGACAATAACATTCTCCTTGTAACATCAAACTTGTAAACCTCTTAAACTGCACAATTGATTTGCACAATCTGTAGCTTTTGTCTATGTTTTACAAACAATGGAGCAGACAGTGGGTTTGTTAGAATGTCTGCAACTTGTTCATATACATGAACTTCATGAACTTGTAACTTCCCTGCTACAATCATCTCTCGAACGAAAAAGAGATCAAGTTCCACATGTTTAAATTTAGAGTGCAAAACAGGATTGGCACAAACTGCAACTGCACTTGAATTGTCACACCATAGAGTAGGTTTACCATAATAGACAATGTGTAGTTCACTCAATAAAGATTCAAGGTATACCATTTCAGCATCTGCACACGCAGCACTTCGATATTCTACTTCAACTGTTGATTGAGCCACAATTTGTTATTTTCGATAGCTCTATGAAACTAAATTGCCCCCAAAGTAAATGAAAAAACCAGAAGTGGAACGTCTATCATCCACATCTGCTCCCCAACTTGCATCAACAAATCCTGTCAAGGAAAATCTAGAATACGCAAAGAAACTCATACCAAAGTCAATCGTTCCTTGTAAGTATATTAAGATACGTTTCACAGCCTTAAAATGAGTGTCAAGAGGAGCTTGCATAAGTTGACACACACGATTGACAACAAAAGTGATATCTGAACGAGTGATCACAACATACTGTAGGTCTCCAACAATGTTGTGAAATTGAGTAACTTTCTCAACTGGATTTTCATCCTTAGCTGAAAGTTTACAGTTTGTGACCATAGGCGTAGAAAGACCATTTGCACTTTCATTCATTTGTAAAACCATATATCAATATCAATAGTACAAGTCTCTTTTATACAGCACACAGTGAAATGTAAATGGGAGGGAAAGAACGTTAGGACGTTAGAGGAGAGATAGAGTTTGTTAAAACAACTCTAACCACCTCACGTACATTGCACATGCATGAAACATGCGTATAACCAATCCATGCATGCATCATGTATACTATCATCATACACTAACATTCCCCTTTCTACTTTACTCTACACCTTTCTAATTCAGCATAGACAATAACATTCTCCTTGTACAATCAAACTTGTAAACCTCCCAAACTGCACATTTGATTTGCACAATCTGTAGCTTTTGTCTATGTTTTACAAACAAGGTAGCAGACAGTGACTTTGTTAGAATGTCTGCAACTTGTTCATATACAGGAACTTCATGAACTTGTAACTTCCCTGCTACAATAATCTCTTGAACGAAAAAGAGATCAAGTTCCACATGTTTAAATTTAGAGCGCAAAACAGGATTTGCACAAACTGTAACTGCACTTGAATTGTTACACCATAGAGTAGGTTTACCATGAGAGACAATGTGTTGTTCACTCAATAAAGATTCAAGCTATATCATTTCAGCATCTGCACACGCAACACTTCGATATTCTACTTCAACTGTTGATTGAGCCATAATTTGTTGTTTTCGAGAGCTCCATGAAACTAAATTACCCCCAAAGTAAATGAAAAAACCAAAAGTGGAACGTCTATCATCCACATCTGCTCCCCAACTTGCATCAGCAAATCCTGTCAAGGAAATCTAGATGATGCTAAGAAACTCATACCAAAGTCAATCGTTCCTTGTAAGTATATTAAGATACGTTTCACAGCCTGAAAATGAGTGTCAAGAGGAGCTTGCATAAGTTGACACACACGATTGACAGAAAAAGTGATATCTGGACGAGTGATCACAACATACTGTAGGTCTCTAAGAATGCTGTGAAATTGAGTAACTTTCTCAACTGGATTTTCATCCTTAGTTGAAAGTTTACAGTTTGTGACCATAGGCGTAGGAAGACCATTTGCACTTTCATTCATTTGTAAAACCATATCTCTATATCAATAGCACAAGGCTCTTTTATACAGCACACAGCGAAATGTAAAAGGGCGGGAAAGAACATTAGGATGTTAGAGGAGAGAGAGAGTTTGTTAAAACAACTCCAACCACGTCACGTACATTGCACATGCATGAAACATGCGTATAACCAATCCATGCATGCATCATGTATACTCTCATCATACACTAACATTCCCCTTTCTAATTTACTCTACACCTTTCTAATTCAGTATAGACAATAACGTTCTCCTTGCAACATAAAACTTGTAAACCTCTCAAACTGCACATTTGATTTGCACAATCAGTAGCTTTTGCATATACTTTACAAACAAGGGAGCAGAAAATGGCTTTGTTAGAATGTGTGTAACTTGTTCATATACAGGAACTTCATGACTTCCCTACTACAATCATCTCTCGAACGAAAAAGAGATCAAGTTCCACATGTTTAAATTTAGAGTGCAAAACAGGATTGGCACAAACTGCAACTGCACTTGAATTGTCACACCATAGAGTTGGTTTACCATGAGAGACAATGTGTAGTTCACTCAATAAAGATTCAAGCCATACCATTTCAGCATCTGCACACGCAGCACTTCGATATTCTACTTCAACTGTTGATCGAGCCACAATATGTTATTTTCGAGAGCTCCATGAAACTAAATTGCCCCCAAAGTAAATAAAAAATCAGAAGTGGAACGTCTATCATGCACATCTTCTCCCCAACTTGCATCAGTAAATTCTGTCAAGGAAAATCTAGAAGACGCTAAGACACTCATACCAAAGTCAATCGTTCCTTGAAAGTATCTTAAGATATGTTTCACAGCCTGAAAATGAGTGTCAAGAGGAGCTTGCATAAGTTGACACACACGATTGACAGCAAAAGTGATATCTGGACGAGTGATCACAACATACTGTAGGGCTCCAACAATGCTGTGAAATTGAGTAACTTTCTCAACTGGATTTCCATCCTTAGCTGAAAGTTTACAGTTTGTGACCATATGCGTAGGAAGACCATTTGCACTTTCATTCATTTGTAAAACCATATCTCTATATTAATAGCACAAGGCTCTTTTATACAGCACACAGTGAAATGTAAAAGGGAGGGAAAGAACGTTAGGACGTTAGAGGAGAGAGAGAGTTTGTTAAAACAACTCTAACCACCTCAAGTACATTGCACATGCATGAAACATGCGTATAACCAATCCATGCATGCATCATGTATACTATCATCATACACTAACATTCCCCTTTCTACTTTACTCTACACCTTTCTAATTCAGCATAGACAATAACATTCTCCTTGCAACATCAAACTTGTAAACCTCTCAAACTGCACATTTGATTTGCACAATCAGTAGCTTTTGTCTATGCTTTACAAACAAGGGTGCAGACATTGGCTTTGTTAGAATGTCTGCAACTTGTTCATATACATGAACTTCATGAACTTGTAACTTCCCTGCTACAATCATCTCTCGAACGAAAAAGAGATCAAGTTCCACATGTTTAAATTTAGAGTGCAAAACAGGATTGGCACAAACTGCAACTGCACTTGAATTGTCACACCATAGAGTAGGTTTACCATGAGAGACAATGTGTAGTTCACTCAATAAAGATTCAAGGTATACCATTTCAGCATCTGCACACGCAGCACTTCGATATTCTACTTCAACTGTTGATTGAGCCACAATTTGTTATTTTCGATAGCTCTATGAAACTAAATTGCCCCCAAAGTAAATGAAAAAACCAGAAGTGGAACGTCTATCATCCACATCTGCTCCCCAACTTGCATCAACAAATCCTGTCAAGGAAAATCTAGA